CTGCTTCTCCCTCTCCCACTCCCCCTGCTTGTGTTCCCTCTCTCGCTGTGTCTCTCTCCGTCAAATAAATAAATAAAATCTTAAATAAATAAATAAATAGATAGATAAATAAAAATTGCCTGAAATGCTTATTTAATTATTATGTGAAATGCACTCCTGGTATAAAATTTATCAGTCTATATTATTAACCTTTATTACCTAAGTTTAACTCGATGAGAGATTTCTTCTCCATGACGTATGGGGTTTTGAAATTTAGCTCTCAGTTTCTCCTTGGAAGTTAAGAACCTGGACTGGGTGTGATGTTTAAGATACACAAATTCAAGGGCAGCAAAATAAAACGGCTCTGAAAAAATACCAGGGGCTTTAGATCCTGGCTAATGTGAATTAGAAATCTGATTAATGCATTCATTTATTCCCTTCTGGTGCCCCAAAATGAATTAGATACATTCTCTCTCTGCCCTCAAAATGCTCATATTTCCTCTCTATAATTTTGGGCAATTTATTCTAACCTAGTGACTTTGACCTACTTGAATATAACATAAAAATCAGTAAAAAAGTAATCAATGTGTAGAGTCCTTGTGACACCAAATAAATTAGCACCTCTGAGTGTGGAGCTAGGCAGCTACAGTCTTAAAAACACTCAGATGATTCTAATATAGAGCTAGGGCTAAGAATTGCTGAAACGCCCCTCATGGCCTATGTCCTCATTTTTGTATGGGGAAAATAATACACAGAAGTGCAAGATTATTGCAAAACCTAGAAAATGTCTGTAAATTGGCCTAAGATGGGTATGTCCATTCATTCGGTCATTCTCCAGTGATAATTAAATGGCCAATTTTAAATAAGTATAAATTAGCACCCCCGAACTAATTGCAAATGAAAAAGAGACAATGATTCAAAAGAAGATAGGAACAACAAAAAAGGGGGAAAAAAGAAGATAGGAACAGTTTTCACTTCAAAGTGAAGGGGAAAGGCAGGAAAGAGGCAGAGTAGTGATAGGGCACAAGAGCAAAAGAAAGAAGAAATTGTTCCTAAGTCAAGAGCCAGCTGAAGTGAAGCTGCCCCACCCAGCGCCAGGAGTGCCCCACAGCCCTGCACACACCCTCCACAGCCTCCCCATGCGTCTCAAGGGGCAGAACTCTGGGGACTGCGGGAAGGCAAACTTCCAAGGACCTCCTAGCCACTTTGCCATTTTTTATTACTCTGAAGAAAGAGTTTTAGAAAAAGATGGGGAATTGAAAATGAGACATATCTGGAATGAAATACTGAAAACAACTTAATTCAAGGGGAATTTTAATATAAATCAAGACAGTGAACAAGGTCTAAAAATGCCAACTTTACCCAAAACTAAAAAAAACATAAATGAAAGACAAACTGCATTACACACTGGGTTGAGTCAGGGATAAGATGCCCTTTCTTTACAAAGGTTGAGACAGGTACAGATAATGGAGACCAGGAATAGGGGGAAATAAAACTGATGTGCTAATCAGCTTGGAAATGCCAAGAATGGCCACTGAGCAGGATCTCCTACTTAAGAGGAATGAGTAAGAACAACATAAAATCGCAGGCTGTATTTCTCTTGCAAGATTACTTTGTATGCTTGTGAATAAGTATAGTGCAGCTTCATTAATTTAAAAAATGCTTTGGAAAATATATCGAAATCACAAGGCCAAGTGTAGCACAAAGAGAATGAAGAAGCATGTGAAAAGTCAGATCTGGGAACCTGCACAAATATTTATTTGTAAAGACAATGGAAAGACAAAGAAAATTTTCTGTTGTCCACAACACCTTCTAGACAAACTGCCAATAGGGATAAACGACAACCACCCATTACCTGATGTGACTGATGGAACCACATGGATATCGAGAGTAATTCCTTTATTACGATTGTGGTACGGCTTGACAGCTACACGCGAATCTCTGGAATTTGCAGTCGTACAAAAACAATGCCAAGTAAAGAGTGCAAGGTGATTTTATTTTCAGAGAGATTTCTACAATTATTAATTTCTAAGGAACTCTTAGGATTTTTAATAAAAAGAAGGCAGTCTGGCTTATAGCTTGCACTGAGAGTCCTCAGTAAACAGCTGCAGAGTGAGTATGGAGACGGTGCAGAGCTAGGACCCTGGGTGGCCTCACCTCCATCACGACGTAACGGTGTGACCTCACCTTTCTGGTTTTAGCTGGCGCATCGATATAGATAGAAATTCTGCTACATAACATGACTAGATCTTTCCCAGCTTAAACAAACAAACAAACAAAAAACGTCCTTTGGTTTCAGATATCACTCCTAAGGAAATACCAAATCACACATAAATCTTTCATTTTAGGCTTGATTTCCTTTAAACAACAGCAGACCCATAAATAGCCATGCTTTCTGAAAAACAAAAATGCCTCTCCCCCTCTTTTTTTATTTTTGAGTAAAGGAACAGTTTCTCAAGAAAGTTTCCACTGAGCCCTCTTCAACTTCCAGATTTTAAAATAGGGGTGGTATAAGGAGGGACTTTTGTCTCATTGCTGCTGTTGTTGAAGCATACTTATTTGCGGTTAAAAAAATTCAGAAATCTATGAAATAGTAAAACTCGTTTTACAACTAACCTACCAAAATATACATGTATCCTTCTTTATAAGGAAACTGGAAAACTTTTTTTATTGAATTTTGACCAGAAATCACAGCAAATGTTTTAAATATATTTTTTTCTGTATAACATACTTCGATTAAAAAATAACTATGATCAGAAAATTTATTTTCCTATTGTGTTTGCATTTTGGTTATACCTCATATCTCACTTCTCTTCCCTATAAATCATGCTGCTTCATTTAACATTACTTTTGTCACTTTGTATCTTAGAATAAAATGTTTAAAATCTTAACTAACATTAGGCTAAGTGGAGATTCTGATCTATATGGCATGTAAGTCTAGATAACTATATTTTGTTTTCATCTTTCAGGCTATTTAATGGCACAAAACTAAAAGATATTCATAATAATCCAACGAGCTGTCCAATTTTTTTATTGGCACATTTGATTTTCAGGCCAATTTGAATATCATATAGGTGAACAGACACTCAAAAAGGCAGAAGGTATCAAAAGTTAAAATGTGCAAATCACAAAAAAAAGAAGGCAAGTGATTTCTCTTCATTTTTAGAAATTTCTCAATGTTAACATTATTTTTAGTGCACCACTCAGCGATCAGCCATGGTATTAATTACCTTAAAAATCTCATACGGTTAAGCATAGATAATAAAAGATCAAACTCTAAAGGCACTTTGGTGCAGATGCAGGAGCAAGCAGAGACACTCCAAATGTGCAACCCCCAATTTTTATAAACAAGCAAACAAAACACAAAAAACAAAACAACAACAACAAAAAAACCCAAGCGGAAAAGGTAGAGAAAGAAATTATGGTAAAGTCCTCCAGAAAGTCAGAACTTTCCAGTTAATTAAATGTAGTTCGACAAACTGCTAGAGAACAATCCCCATGCACTTTTCTGGACTTTGCTTTCCAGCTTTTCTCATTGGTTCTTAGAGCAGGCATGCAGGTGAATATACTCTGTCCTTGGCTGCACAGAAATGAACGATCAGTATATTCATTGGCTTATTAATGAGCACATTGAAGAACAGGCCACCTACCATTGTCACTGTCTCCTTCAGATGGAACACTGTAGCTAGAGCTGTCCCATGTTTGTGCCTGTGTAAGTTTGTTGAAGGAGATAGGAGGAAGAGTGAGGGCTGGGTCTGCAGGAGAGCAAGAGAGCCGGTCCGCGTACAGTTGGACAAGGACCAGGAAAAACCAAAGGGACAGCAGCATTTCACAAATGGCATAAGGTTTGTATGGAAATGAAGCGAATTTCATATTATGGGATTTAAATTCAAATGTACAATATAGGAGGAGAATGAAAGATGGCGCATGAAATAAAAAGAATGATAAAAACCGAGTGTTAGTACTTATCAATCATATACTTTGCATGCAGTTAATATTGTTAACCTTAACAGTTCTGCAAGCCCACAGACTCAGAGTCCTAACGAATCATGTCCGCAGAAAGGAAGCGTACCCACAATCAACATAGATACAAAGAAGACCTACCACACACCTTTTTTCAAAACCTTCTAGATAACTAACATCGTAGCAAATACGATTCACACAAAAAATTCAGTTACATAGACAAAGCTTAATATGTGTAAATATATCTATTATTTAGAAATGAGACTATTACAGAATCAGTGTTTACCATGTGTCAATTTTTTTCCAAGGCAATGTAAAATTTCTCTTTAAAGGCTACCCCTCTCTCTGTCTCTCTCTCTGTTAAAAAATAAATAAAATCTTTAAAATTAAAAAAAAATTCTCCCTCAAAAAAAAAATAAATAAAGCTACTGGCATGCTTTATTGTTAGCTGTAGCGAGCCAACTCTGCTCAACCCTGGACACACACACCCCTCAATACTGTCTTGGTACCGATCAGCAGAAAAACATTTTCTGACACTAGCAGAGTCTCTTTAACAACAAACCTCATTCACCAATAGAAGTCAATCAATTTCAAGCACTTCTGAGTTAGGAATGAATATTTGAGTATATACAATTGTCTCTCTTTGGAGGAAAACAGAAGAGAAAAAAATGTTCTTTTGAAGAAAACTATCAGCCTACTTAAGAATCTAAGTTCTTATTCCAACTTGCTGATTTGAGCAGTCTATTTTTATTTATAACACAGAAATCACATAAATCCATATACTTAACTTGAAAAGTTAATTGGCTTTCAAAAGTTCCAAAGCTACTCAATCAAATAGAACTTCTTTTTAAATTGTATCATCTTCAATTAAGATTGCTATATATATTATTTTTTAGAAAATGTGAAAAATACATACTGTAATATGTTTAAATTACTAAATAAAATGAAAAAATCCCCAATATATAATGCAGTTTTATAAAATTCCAACATGCCACTTGATGTTCCTGATGATAAATCACATTATTTACAGCAACCAAACTCCACAAAGCTTTCAACGACTAGAACAGTTTCCACAGTCAGCATTATAGAAAGGTTGGAAGCTTGGAGAGGAAATTATCTTCGTTTTCTGCTATTCAAAATAAATACCCCATTTCTTTTTCCACCACTGCAATGAATTTGAAATGGTTGAACAGTACAAGTACAATATTGATAAGCCGAGTTTGGACTCCATAAAAGAGAGGAAAAAAAATCATTGAACAATTTTACAACTAAATTGTAAAGATGCACATTCAAAAGAATATTGGTCTTTGGGGATTCATTCACCTTTTGATTGCTCAATTATGAAATATATTTAAAATTCCTTAAAACTACCTGTAAGGATTAGAAGCAAGTCTGTAGCCCAGTCTGAGGTCCTGAATACATAGCGATAACTCTCCTGGAAGGCCGTCACTGAAGGCACGGAGGAGAGGTGCCCACCTGATCATGTCTCCTGGTACACACGCGCGACCCCAGGGAAATGGAAACCCAGCCCAGATCTGACTGCATACGCTCACTGCCATAAATGAGGAGGCCAGTCATTTGAGCCTTATTTCATGCATAATTTGGCTTTCCATAACACACCTACTAACCTTTGCCATGTCCCAGCATTTTCTCAAATAGCTTTGCCTTATAGCCCATCCAGAATGCCAGGAAACCATTACACCTGGCTACATGTTACGCCTCAATCAACTTGCTCCCCAAACGAAAAGTTTCCTTCATAAAGGAATTATATTTGTTTTTTTATGGGTAACTGTTTACAAAATAGACACACATATAACTTCTGTTTGCCAAAATGCTTTACTGAAAAACCCAAGAACATCTAAGTTCTTTACTAGACTTTTGCTTAAATGTGTCTGAGTCCTTTCTTAGCAGTTACTTAAAAGCATTATAGTCATGAGTGTATGCAAAGATCCAAAAGTATTAAAATAAAAAAGGACTAAAAGAAGGTAGACAGTGCTAGAACTTCAGTGGAGAAATCAGAAGAACCAAATTTTTCTATGCATCATCGTCCTTTTTAAAACCAATAGTTATTTTGCACATTGTTATAATTTACATCTGTGAATACACTAACAATAAATTAAAAGAAAGTAGGTAATATAAGCAGAAAGGCTCTTTTTTTAAATTTTATTTTATTATGTTATGTTAATCACCATAGAGTATATCATTAGTTTTTGATGCAGAAAGGCTCTTTTAGAGAAATCACTCCTGGGCACTCATGTGAGCCTTGAAATGATCACCCTGTTGCAGGAGGAAATGCATAACCTTACAAGGGTTAGAAAGCCAACAAAGGATATTTTAGAGGAGTCACCCTGTCAGAGGCTGCTCTTTAGCTCAGCACCTTCCTAGGAACCACTGGGGCAAAGCGCTAGCTATTTTATCTTCCCTGGGTAAAACACTCATTAGAATATTTCTTCCCCACTAACATGCCCCATCACATTTTCTCTTTGCTCGGATTGGAAAGGAGGTATGATATCTACTACTGATAACATGGACATAGCAGATGATTCACTGAGAACAAGGCTCCAAAGTCTGGCCTCCCCAAGCTGCAGCTCTGAGGCTAGGACTCAATGTTCACCAGAGTGCATTCACAAAGCTGCTCACGCTAACACATACACATTTAAGAGGCTAAAGGGAAACAACTGAGTGTTTCGAAGTGTCAGGACGCTGAGGTTTTAATTTACCTGATCGAGGCTTGAGGCCAAATGGAGCTGTGCTGTTGGTGGTGGGAGAGATTGCAGGCGAGTTCGCTCTCATCTGCAGTATTGGAAGGAAAGGATTTTTTTTTTTTTAAAAAACAAACAACTAAAGCAGAACTACACATGCTTCTCTACGTTCCAGGATTATAATAACACCACTACCTCTTTGATTCGCTGCGTGTGATGAAGCCCTGACTAAAAAAATATGACTGATGCATCTTCGCATTGCAAATGGTTGAGTGGCATCATCAACAGAATGTTGTCTGAGGGGAGAGCCAGTCAATTTTCATTTGCGCAAGAAAAAATATTCTATAATCATGTGACACTGGCGATCTCTTCTGCTCCAGAATAGATGCGTGCATGGGTACACACACACAGGCACACACTCACACCCCCCTCACAGGGGGCACAGCTGATGAAGAATGTCATGACACAGTACGAGAGGAAAACAGGTCACATTGGACAGAGTCTCATCTACAGGGAAACCACCCACTGCTCCACTGATGGATAACAGGACATTCGAAATGCTGCCTACTGAAGCCATCACTCTGTCTTCTATAAAGATGCTGCCATATTTGGTTTTCAAAATATATCTTAAAAAACAATCTTTCATTATGGAGAGGGCCAGATAAGACTATGATAGCTAATGAGACTCCCCCAGAGAACCTGCAATACAATTAACTCATGAATCATGACAGTCTCAGATTATGTATTTCTGTAAAAGGTATTCCAATTCAGCCTTCACAAACTACCTCGTCTACCTCGTCCTACGGTAATCCTCAGGAAACTTACCTCATTTGGAGAATACTCGCTCCCATTGCTCTGTGATGTGAGATCATTTTGCACCTTGAAGAAAAAAATGCGTGGTATATTCCATTAGACCGTAAAATTACTGAGGCAAGAACTGCGTCCTTCTGACTTCCCTCATATCCCTGGCACCTGGGCACTCAATGAATATACACTGAATTAATTAAGTAGTGTGTTAAATAGCTAAGTAGGTCATACTGACATTTGCTAAAAACATGCAGCTGTACTCACACAAAAAAAATACATCTAAAGTATTACACAAACTAAGAAAAGGGATCTCCCAGGGCAAAGAGCTCAGTCCAAAGTACCTTTAAACATAACCCGCCTTGCTTGATGACCAAGCCACGTGCAGGCTCCCACTCCTCATTTGAGCCATAGGTCTTTAGAAATGGTCCAAGGTAGTATTTCCCAAATACACAGAATCTCACTGGGAGCTTTTATTTTTTTAAGATTTTATTTATTTATTTATTTTAGAGAGAGGAGAGAGAGAGAAAGAGAGCACGCTGTGCGTGAGCAGGGGGAGGGGCGGGGGGCGAGAGGGAGAGAATCTTGAGCAGACTCCAAGCTGAGCACAGAGCCCGATGGGGGTGGGGCTCGATCTCGGGACCCTAACTAAGATCATGACCTGAGCTGAAACGAAGAGTTGATGGCTTACCTGACTGAGCCACCCAGGTGCCCCTCATTGGGAGCTTTTAATAAATATACATGCCTACACTCCAAATTACCTGAGACAATCTTATGTTATCAATTCAACGCCAGTTTGCTTGGGCAACCAATGAGGAAACTCTAGATTATTTTACTCAGATCAGCCTTCTTCTTCTTCTTTTATTTTTTTTTCAGATCAGCCTTCTTTATATGGTCATCAAGGAACCCACTGAACACCCTAATAAAAAAACCTGGTGATAGCTAACATAAACATCTTCATTTATAGCACACCAAATTTGTATAAATTTAAGATGGCTATTCCTATTCCTATTGTTGAGGAGTGCTATTTAAAAAATACTCCAAACTTCGACACATCCATAGGAAAAACATATTTTTAGAATAAAATGTCATTAATTTCCCTACTCAATGAAATGGCTTTGTTAGAAATACTAACAAGTACCTGCAGGTTTGATTCTCTCTATGAGCTATTCCTTCCTCCAACACTGTCCCCAATTTGATATTATTTATGAAGGAGACTATAATTTGCAATTCTTCTTGAATGGATGCCAGTGCTACCCAAACTTGATACCATCATCTCAACTATGTTTAAAGTCAGACAATGTGATGTAAAAACCCCCTGGCAATCTTGGCCCGACCCACTGAACTGGGTAGGGCCACAGTTCACGCCCCTCCTCAGTGTTCTGCCTGGCTCACAGACTGTGCTGATTCTGCCATAGCTGCATGCTGGGACCCATCCAAATCCAAACAACCCCCCAAATCTACGTTTACTTCCCTCTCTCTTTAAACTCTACCTCTTCCCCAGTCTCCCAGAGCACCTAAAATACTCAGGATTACAGACCACCTCAAATTCTTTAAATTTTTTCAATATCCAAGTCTTCTTCCCTCCACATTTTTTTTAAAACATCTTAAAAAGAGGACAACTTCATATCCTTAACAGCCCAGTCCTTGACACCCAAAACAAAACCAAATCCAGCGTAAGTACTCTACAAACACTGGCTAATTGATTCAAGACTTATGCCAAGGTTATTGCTTTCCTCTGGAATGAGACAGAAAATATAAAAATAACCAAATCATAAATGAGGGCCACAGTGAAATTCTATAATCATTAGCACTGGCCTTGCTAGTCCACCACTTTCTCTTCTTCCTCCTTGTGCCTTCCAGAGCCCACTATCTGATCCCTCCTTTTCAAAATCATTGAGATGTGCCTGTCATGGACAGATGAATGCCCTAGAGAAGGAAGACAATGAGTAAGAATTTCTTACACCAAATAGGAGTCCTCATTCAACCAAAAAGAAAAAACTAACTTATATTAATACAAAATGTTATAAATCAGAGACGGAGTGGACGTATCTTTTTTTAGAGGACTTGTGTCTTAAACTGGTACTCCTGAATCATGCACCCAGGTGGACATCTGTTTTACTAGCATCAAAAGTGGGTCTGCAGCAGGACCCTAACCAGTTATAAAGTACCTCTTCACTGACTGCTTATCGGTTGCAATGGAAAAACAGAACAATAATTACACAGTGGACAAATCAAGCTACACAACAAATGGGCAATCAAATTAACATCACCAATCAGGCCCATCTAGACACGTGTGATATCCTGAGATGGACATAATACCACCTGTGCAGTGTTCCGATCAAGCACACAGAAGCCTAATCTAATCATGAGGAAATATGAGGGATTTTTGTCTCACAAAATAAGGGGCACACCATTAAAAAAGGGGAGAGCTATGTTCTTCAAAATTTCAAGGTTATAAAAAACAAAGAAAGGTTACAGAAATGTTCCAGAGTAAGGGAACCTCTAAATACCTCCTCCTAACTGAATACAATACCTGCCACTACACTGGATCCTACATGGGAGGAGAAAAAAAAAAATCTGAAGAACATCATTAGATCAACTGAACAATTTGGAATATGAATAGTAGATGAGATTAAAACAGTTTATCAATGTAAATTTCTGAATTTGATACCTGAAATGTAGTTATGTAAAGTAAAACCTCTATTCTTAGAACACATACAGTGAAATGTTTAGGGGAAAAAGGACTGTGATATATGAAACCCTCAAATGCTTCAGAAAAAGAACCATGTGTGGAGAAAGAGAGAAAGAGAAGAAACAATATGACAAATGTGGTAAAACAATAATAGGTCACTCGGGGTAAAAGGACACAATTTTTGTAACCTTCTGTAGAATCTTGTAATTTTTACCCACATTTTTATGAATTTAAAATTATTTCCAAGTAAGAAGCTTAAAAAAAAAGTGGGTCAACTATAATCAATCAATAATAAAATAGTGGGCCTGCACAGAATCACGAGGAGCCTGTCTCAGAGGAGAGCCGGAGGGAATGGGCCGGGGGCAGCCTTCACACAAAAGGCTTCCTGATGTTCCAGGACTGGGTAATTCAGTGATGCCTCCACCAGGGAAGACACGGTGCAGTCATTTTGTCTGAGGACCCCACCAATAATGACAATAGAATGGTAGAGTGAGAGTCATAGCTAACATCTAGGTATCCTGGGTTGTGAGACTGGTCCCAATTTACAGAAAATGAAGGTGAAGTTTAGAGAGGTTGCCCATAGTTAGCAAGTCTTTGAGGTGGGATTAAAACTCAACATAATTCTAAGTCATGGCGCTCAACAAAGAAACCAGAGTGGTTCTCTCTCCTCTTATTTAACACAGAGACTTAGCCAGTTAAGAGTGTAAAACTGCTTCACTACACTTCACATGCTCAAACACCTCAGGGACATAAATTGGTGTGTCCTGAAGTTAGCCATCCCAAACCCACTCACCACGGTGGGATGAATTAGGGTGTCACGCAGATGTCACTCCCAAGTCACCAGCTCAAACCTATTTTTAGGACTGTTTCTCTGGGACCTTCTAGGCTCATCTCTAGTTTTACACCAAAACTGCTTTCAACAGCCACCCAATTTCCACCCAGCATAACTCCACCCTTACTGTGTCCCCACATAACCCCACCAGGTCTCTAAAGTTCTCCTAATCCTCCCAGGCACTTCCCAAATCATTTGTTCTTGCCTCTCAAGTCTTTTCTAGTTTATTTCCACCTGGCCACTCCCTAGGCTTCGTTCTTGGCTCTAAAATCTACACTGAGTGGTCCTACCTCTTTCTGATGCAGCAGGTTCCCTTGCTATCTTAGTTGCTACTGCCTGGCTCAGCAGGACTATCTGACCCCCCAAATTTAGAGAGTTTAATGGGAAGAGCCAACTCTCATCTTTAATGGAAGATGAAGTAAAATAGATATGCAGGAAAACTAAGGTAAAAGTATAAAAAAATGTGAAAAACAGACCGTGAACAAAATTGAATAGTAGTCCCACTAATGAATGTTCTACCCTACGATCAATCTTTTATAGACTATGGTAGCCACTATTCCGTGGCAGAATACTGCAGAGAGTTCTGGTTAATCCAAGAGTGGCCTTACCTCACACACCGGAGAGGTCTCCAGCTGTATTTGACCACTGTAGGAATAAAGAAAAGAAAGGGACATAAAGTGGAATTTAAAGCATAAATATTTCAATGTAGAAAGAGAAAATATATTCAGTTACAAGAAGGTCAACATACTTTAGTGCAGAATCTTGTAAGTCTAAGGCTTCTGCTGATTCCACAGGATAAAAGTTTACAACATTTCTCTCTGTAATATCAGTGCTTAATCTAAAGAGGGGGGGAAAAGAAGATGTTAGCAAATTTATTAAACTTTTCATATGTTCTATGACTTTAATAAATCCAATGCTTTGGGTCATATTTAGTTTATAATTTTAATACATTAAAAAGTTATGTTTATCATTAGGTTAAGTAATCAAAAATTTATGGTAGAAATTTCAAATCACATGGTATTTTCCCACCCCGTGCCAAATTTTATATAATTTTAATTTAATTTTCTATCTGCTATTGGTATTGAAATCCAACTTACTTGCAATATAACAGTAATTTCTGCTAAAGTCATAATATTCATAGATAGCACACACTAAGTCCTAGTCTAGAACTTGATTGATTTATAGAAGTAAATAAAATTGCTAAGAGTACTATATTATTTTATATGTACCAAGGGCATGTTGCTTTAATAAGAAGATATCTCTGATATACATGAATACTCTCACTTTAAAAATTAAAATTCATAAGCAATTTGATGTGCAATTTTATTTGTGAAATTGTCTTACAGATATTTTCTGAATTTCTAGCAATTTCAAGAGTTGAGTTCTTTTTAAGATCTGTAAAACCAGGAATTGCTGTAAGTCATATAAAAGTTACAAGGCTATCTTTAAAGGTAGGGATGAGTCACATTATACATACTTATTGAAAATGCTATCAAACCAATAATCAGAAATACTTAAGAAAAGAAACCAAGATAAAGGCAAAATACAGTACCAATATTCAACTAGATTTTCTGATGTTAAGGTTGTATGAAAGGTAAACCTCTAAAACTTAATCCTATAATCAGTGGCTTAACTCCAACAACAAAAAGTTTGGATCTATGAAATATGAGAGAAAGGAAAAACCCAGTATGTATGTAAAATTGTTATTATTAATATTCAGTCCCAAGCAGCTAGACATAAGTGACCCCTTGAAGTGCCCTCTTTTTTTAGAAACACACACAGGACTCTTCTTATATTAGTATTATACTGGCTCACAGAATATTATACATTAGAACTGTCCTTTTGTGATAATTATTTCAGGATGAACAACAAAGACCTAAAGCAGCCAAAGGAGTGGATAATTTTAGGGAGGAAATGAAATCCATATAAAGTTTTACAACATAATGCATTTTAAAATAGTACTCCATAAAGATGTAGATCAATTAGCTCTTGGAAAGTTACTCAGGGCTGTTTTCTTCCACAACTCAAGCACACACCCACCATTCTGACTCGCTCAACGTTCTTGGCAACTCATTGCCTCAAACATTTCCAAGCTAGAGAGGAATCTTGAGGTTCTCAGTTCATCCCACTTCTCATGAAGGAAGGCAAAACTAAGGCCCACGGCTGGGAACCCTCCTCCAGGTCAGTAGGATTTTTACTACTGGGCTCCAGTCCCACATTCCCAAGCCACTTTTATTTCCACCAAAGTAGGCTGTTGTTTTTCACTTTGGGGTTCACGTATTAATCAATCTCTAATTTGTAAGAAAAGTGTATTGGAGGAGTGGAAGTATTAAAACACTATGAAGTTTGAGCCCAACTGGGGCCTTCTCTCTGTCACATCATGTCTTCAAGGCTCGTTCCTGGACTCACGCTCCCTTCCCATCGATACGCTTGGCCTTGGAAATCTCAGCCTCCTTCGAAAGCTCTGTTACTGCAGCACAGTGTGCAAATGACTTTCAAACCTAAGTCTCGAAGCCCCAGAACCGAACACCTAGCAGCGGAGTGGACGCTGCCACCTTGGATTTTATTCAGTGCATCCTACGCTGACCCCAACATCCTCCTCTTCAGACCTGCTGTCGCTCTGGGTTCCCCATCTCCGATAACGAGAAGGGGGGCTCAGATCTAAACACTGTTTAGATGTGTTCTCGCCACCCACTTCAAATGATCGCCAAAGAACTACAACTGTACCTACCACTGAGTATCTCTAATTTATAAAATCTAAAGAAAAATATGAATTTAGAAATACCTACAGAAGAACATCCATTGTAATATATTTCCTTCCAGTTTTAATTTTTTCTAGGTTTCTGACATGATTGAGACCTAATTCTGTCTGTATAATTGGGATCAAACCTTTGTATCTTATATACTTTTTAAAGTACATAAAACATAAAATGAGCATTCTAAAATATATTGGAAACTTTAAAAAAACCATTGTATCAGGCACATTATAGCCCATCGTATTAACACTTATATTTAAGTATCTCCAAACTGCTGGATTATTTCCTTTTCCCCAAATATTTGCTATAAAACACCTTCCTCCTCACAATTGTTGTTCATATCTCTTTGTCCCTCAGGATAAATTTTTAGAATTTATTTGAAAAGTTTATATATTTTATAGGCTACGGCCACGTACTACTGGGATGTCTTCTGGAATGGTTTTTCCTACTAACAGTTTAGATATTATTTCAAATCCTCACCATCCTAAGAAGTAAATATTTGGATCTCATCTTATCAAGGAGGAAAATGGCACGCAGAGTAGTTCTATCTTACCCAGATCAACGGTGTCGGCGCTGAGTTCAGAACCAGCAGCCGGCTGATCCCAAGTCTGTTCTTCTCACCAGACAGGCTGCTTCCCCATTCTTTATAATTTCACACAAATGCACACAATACACACACACACACTCTCTTGTCCCTGTTTCTTCTCATTGACTGCCCTGGTTTAGGATGTGAAACTCAGCCCTTTAAGGAATACACTTTGATTAGGCATTCACTAATAAGCGAAGCTCTGAGCCAAACATTAGGGAGAATTGGCAACATAAATAATCCTATTTTTAAACCACCACTACCTCCGTCTACATATAGAACAAAGTCTGGGCTCCTCAACACAGCATTCGAAGGCATCCTCGGCACCACCCCAGTGCCCCTCTGCGGGGTCTCAGTCCCAGCTATGCATCAGAAGCACTGGCAGCACTTTTGAAAAGTGGAAATGGCCAGCCCCCAGCCTCACAGGTGGAGTCGGGGTATCTGTGTTTCGAACGTTCCACAAGCAGTACTGAAGCACAGCGAAGGTAGAGATCATCTCTGCCTGAACCGTTCCAAGCCCGCTCCAAGCCCGCTCCACTCCCTGTGACTCCCTGCCTTTGCCCAAGCCTCTAATTCAATCCAGAATTTGCTTTCTCCTTGAAAGGGCCAGTTATTAAAGGCCCAGATAAATGATCCCAGGCTTCACGGACGCCAGCCCAACCACCTCCCTGTTTCCATCTGTGGCCAGGCATTCACTTCAAACACTTAAATCCATTCCACTTACAAATATCTACTCAAGGCAATCTCTACCACAGTTTAAGTTCTTAGAAGGCAAGGGCTGTGTCTTGTTCATCTTCATATCCCCCCGAGGTGCACTCGGTAGATCCTCCCACGCTCTAAGCACTCAGTTAATGTCTGCAGAACCGAAATGCTTTTCAAATCAATTGCTGAAGATTTCCAACCAAACTGACCCATCACTCTTCTTTTAGGTCCAGCCGATTTTGGCAGTGACCCATCACTGGCACTCTGGGACGCACTAACCACCATTTTCATAAATTCCCAAAATGTGGTGTGGTTTCCGTGTTCACCATATTACAAGACCACATCATCTTCATATTTAAATCCCCAGGACCCCTAAACAGTTTACCAGGAATAAGCTTGGGGTATATTTCTCTAGTGCTAAAGTAGTTAGGACCTGACACCTGGTATACTGTTTCACTGAAGAATATTTTGTCCATGGGAATTCCATTATCCTTTGCGAAGAAACCAAAAAATAGATCTGCATATAGTGCCTATTATTGATAATGGCCAATTCAATTAAAAAAATTATCTTGTGACCCAAATCTTCAGAAATATATTATTTAGTTAACATATATTTAGCATCTCAGAAACAAATATGATAGTACCAGATAAAACAATTCTTTCTTTTTTGAAAAATATCCCTGATATTTCTCTAAGTCAGGAGTTAAATTTTAAGCAATTACAAATCTGCACTTTTATCATATTTCTATTTTCTAAGAATTATGCCAAAAATCCCCATATGAATGTCATGAAGGGTAACTAAATTTCATTAAGGAGTAGCAAAAGGAGGAAATGATCTCAATCTCTCCGGAACTGTGACTCTTACTTATGGCTCTTGTGAGAAATTCTCTTTTTTTGGTGGCTAGACTGAACCCAAACGGTGTGTACAAATATTTTTAAAGGTGAGATAACATACTCAATAAATTAGTACACATTATTCACACATGAACCCTGGGCCAAGGAAAGACACACATACCTGTTGGGATCTTGCAGCAAATCTACTGCTTCTCTCAGTTGTTCAATCATCGCTATATCCATGTCCTGGTCTTTGGATGAACTTATTCTGTAGCATGAACCGGGCATAAGAGTGAAAATGATTACTGGAACGTGGATATTATCCAGATTCTTAAGAGCAAATGTATAAAAATCCATCTAACATATAAAAATGATTTTGACAAGCTCAACATGATAATGAACAGGTGTCAGTCCCCTGTGGAGTGGATTGCCAGAGGGTAGAGGAGGTGGGGCTACTGGGTGGGGGAAGCCCAGCTCTGCTATAAAATAGCAGCTCACACAAAGTCTCGATGCCCAAGGGTTTGCATCTGCGCCTCTATAAAATCAAGGCAATGGACAGGCTGGGTGGTTCTCACACTGTGCTTTCATGAGCCCGGGGCGGGGGGTTGCACAGGGGTGCCCAGCTGCAGCAGGTCTGCACGACTTCTGGCTCTTCCCGCTCCAGAGCAACCAACGTGGCTCGGTTTTATTGCTTTCATACAATATGGGACTTCACTGCGGGATAGTGGTTCTCAGTGCAGTTTCTTTATGCAGCAAAATCATCTGTGGCGCTTAAAAAAAAAATGCCAAGCCAGATACTGGGGTTTGGGCTTTTTATTAAGCTCTACAGGCGAGGCTGAGAACAACAGGTATAAGATTCTGAATGGGGTTTCCAAAGCTTTACAGACAGTTGGCCCTTGAACGACACAGGCTCAAATTGCATGGGTCCACTTATACACAGGTTTTTTTTTTCCAATAAATATATTGGAAAATTTTTTAGAGATTTGTAACAATTTGAAAAAATTCACAGATGAACTGCATAGCCTAGAAGTACTGAGAAAGTCAGGGGAAAATCAGTTATTATTGTAAGAATATAGTATATAATACACATACAAAATATGTTAATTGACTGTTTATATTATTGGTAAGTCTTCTGGTCAACAGTAGGTTATTAGTAGTTAAGTTTGGGGGGGTTGAAAATTATATGCAGATTTTTGACTGCGCCCAACCCCTGCATTGTTCAAGGGTCAGCTATAGTTTAAAAAAACACTCTCCCTATAAAATCTCTTTCCCTATAATTCTATGATTCTGTAATCAAACTAGTCCTCCTTGACATTACAGAAATATATTCAATGAATAGCTGATAATACTGGACAGTGATTTGAAAGGAACTTAGCAATGTTTTTAAAGGTCAGAAGAGATCTGATCATGGTTACTGCTTTCCACTACAGAACATGAGCCAATGTGTTTCTATAAGTGGAGAAAATTTTTAACAATATAGTAAATCCTCATTCAGGGTAAATCCCTCCCAAGGTATGAAGGAAGATCCAGGCCTACATGCCAGATCATGGAAACAAAATCCTGGGAACCAAAAATCTACTGTATGCCACATGGTTCAAGCTCAATTCCCCTGGAAATCATTCATCATCTGATAGATGACTCATGCCCTCCCCTGTAAAGCTGGCCAAGGAAATCCTCACATGCAATCGAGTTGAAGGGCTATCTCTATCTGATATGAGATTCCTTGGGTTCAATCCCAGCCCTCTGGGACCTTAGGACAGTCTCTCTGTGCCTCAGTTTTGTGCCATGTGAAACAGGGGATAACGATAGAACTTATCTCATAGGATTTGTTGTAAAGATGACATGAGTTACTACCTGTGAAGTATTTAGGACAGTGCCTAGCACATAGCATTTAATAAATGTTAGCTACTACAACTCTTAGACATGGGACCAAGACATGAGAAGTATATGGTTTTCTCAGATCTTGAACCTGAAGACGGTTCAAGGTAAAGCGTGACTGGGACTGTATATTGCTCTGGGTCCAGTTGTTGGTTTCTTCAGACAAATGGAAGTAAGCCAGAATCTCCAGTATAGGAATTTTATCTAATTTCCTGAATCACATTCTATCCACAGCCTCCAGTCAGATAAAACTCCAGGCCAAGAAGAGGTCTGACCTTGCACTGGGACAATAAGCATCTGACAGAGAACAACTTGCAAGTTATCGATATAACATTGGGCGAGACTATCAGCTTGCCCAAAGAAAAGCAGACCAAAATTCTATCATGACAGGGCTGCCTTCTGCTTGAACCATGAACTTCACAGGATGGTGGCTCATAAGCAGGCCCTGGGTACTCACATTCCCTCAGGTTGCCAGTGCGTGTCCTCTTCTATCCGTAACAGTTCTTCACAGTCCTCAGCCTTATCCTGTGGACAGAACACACGGGTCTTCTGAGAGCCACTGGCTATCAACAGTCCACAGTCAAACCCTGCCTTTAGTCCACGTTCACACTAGCATTACTCTCAACAGCCAAAAGGTGGGAACAATCCAAGTGTCCATCTACAGATGAATGGTTAAACAAAATGGTTAAACAAAAACAAAATGGTTAAACAAAATGGTTAACCAAAAATGGTTAAAACAAAAAATGATCTTTACATACAATGGAATGTCACTGAACCTTCAACAGGAAGGAAGTTCTGACACAGGCTACAACAGTCAACCTGCAGGGCATTCCGCTCAGTGAAGTCAGTCAGTCATGAGAAGCCAAATACCGTAAGATTCCAGCTCTGTGAGTGACCTACAGGAGTCCCTCATAGAGACAGAAAGCAAAATGGTGGCTCCCAGGGGTGAGGGGAGGAGGGAATGGGAAATTAAAGTTGAACGGGTACAGTGTTTCCATTTGACAAGATGAAAAGAGTCCTGGAGATAGACGGTGGTGATGCTTGCACAACCATGTGAACGTACTCACCACTGAACCGCACACTGAAATATGACAAATATGGTAAGTTTTACGTTACGCGTATTTTACCACAATTAAAAATTAAATTAAATTAAAAAAAAAGAGAGACCTGACCCACGACCACAATACCTGTTAACTTAAGAGTCAGAAATGTAAAGTTCTATTTCTTATTGCCCTCTTAGCACCTCATGTTCAGATTCCTCTGTTAAGTTAGGCTCGTCGGTCACATAAGCGTGTTCTAACTGTTCGTGAGAGGAGGGGTGTGTGTGTGTGTACACATGCGTGCGTGTGTGTATTCTTGAGGAAAAAGAAAGTGTAAAATAAAGAACAACAGAAAACGCCTCCAGTTGCATCTAATAGTTCCATGCATACCGCACCCAGATCTCACCGAAATGTCCCCCAACACACATACACCGTTATTTTCCCAAATGAACGTTGTGACGGGCTTAGTTAGCATGGTGCATCCCACTGCTAAGACTTCCATGTGCTTCTGTCCACTGTCAGCTCTGACACAGAGCCATGCTGCCTTAACTCAGCCTACAGCCAGAATAGAAGCCACCCCTGAAGGGCAGTACGTTCCTCAGGCAAGGAAGGAACAACAGACAGACCCAAGGACTGACACGCTGTTAACTAACTCAGACCCAGCCCATTCTCCAGATACGTCACTGAGAAAAGTCTTCTTCTGAGGAGGTGCCTAGCACTGGATGCCAGCCTCTGCCTTAAAAAACACTCAGACTTTTATTAATTATAGATATAGTGCATAGTTAAGTAAACACAGAAATTACTGTGTCACTATCCAAATAAGAGTGAAATTCATGGGTGAAAGTATGCTACCAGAAATGAGCAAGAAAACATGTTCTAATCGCTCTTTGTTGGGTTTCAACTACAGGAGCCAAGGGTATTTCCTTGGCTATTTCCTAATTTTCAGTTTCATAATAAAAGAATAGCCAATAGTATAAAAGACCACTTTTTTTCCAATATGCAAAATAGGGCTTACCGATTACTTTTGCTAAGTTACAGGGTTATACAGTTCATCCTCATTATTTGTGGGTTCCATTTTTATGAATTTACCTACTCACTAAAATTCATTTGTGAATGAATCAATAAATCAATACTCGTGAAGATTCTCCAGAGCGGTGAAAACCTTGAGTCCACAATATGTGTGTGTTCCCAGCTGAGGCTGAACAAGGCAACGCTCTGCCCTCTCATTCAGACCCAGCCCAGCAGCCATCAGAGCACCAACCTCAGGAAATAAGGACGAGCACCTGGAGACCTCACACCTGCTCCACCACAGTAAGCCCGGGACCATCATTTCTCATGAGCCTCAGTGAAAATGAATTTTATCCAGTTACCCTTGTGATTCATGGGGGCCACACCCTGAGCCAGAAGGACTGGCAGAAACACACCAATCATGTCTCAAAGTGGAACCTTCACTACCAGCGTTAGCAAAGGGCTGGTTCTTCTCTATTCTTTTTGCTGCTACTATGATGAAGGTTCACCTGAAAACACCGTGACTTCCTCCAACCTTTCAACACCTCAGTGCAAGGATAAGAGCTCAGGAATAAGTGTCCTCAGAGTGACCTTCCTAGAAAGAGAAGACATTCATTTCTAGATTTTAAGAGTCCCCACTTTTCTCTTTATACTATGGACATACTCCCAAGAAAAGCATTCACCTAGAATACGTGGAAAAGAACGTGAAACGGTCTATTTAACTTTGAGTGGATGGTGATGGTAATGCTGACCCGGCTGCTAACTTATCATGCACCGAGAGGTGGAAAGCTAAGCAATCACTGGATATAAAGGAAATTGGACGCATGTACAGACACACAGAGAGGTATGACAGGGACCAGCTCCCAACAGCAAAAAATAGACACCCCAAGCTTTGAGAAGATATAGAAACCGGAGGAAACTGGCATAAGCTGACATTTAAGGTGATGGACTGGTAACCTTGAACTTAAATTCAAAGGCACCAAACAGAAGAAAATTTTTTAAAAATCAGCGGATCGTCAACTTGCCTTAATATAGGTTATAAATTCTGAACGGAGAACATCTGTTCCATCAGTAAATTGGCCTCTTTCTTCTCCTGAGTTGTCATTGTCACCCAAAAGGGAAGGCTCTGGTTGAAATTCCTGATGAAAGTCCCCTATTAGGAAAATGTAGAGAAAGACAAAAAGATGGTTTCACGAAGAGATGAGCAAAGCACAGACGACCCTCAAATACCATCGGACTATTTTCAGTCACTGCTCTTGCCTCTTCTGGAGGTCTATGAATGACAACTTTTCTCTTCCCTGAAAAGTGGGACGAAAAAATGAATAAAGGAGGAAAAAGAGAAAAAGAAATAGAAAGCCCCCCCCTCAAGGTGAACTGGAAAGTTAAGGCCTCTTTATGGCTTCGTCCCTTAAGAAAGAAATGAAATCTCCTATAACTTTTTTAAGAAACAGAGGAAAGCATGTTTGAAAGAGGCAAAAGGAACACCAAGCAGATCTCTTCTCCATGATCTGCAAACTGGAAAGAACCAAGTAGGGCCACCTTTAAGGACTCCTACCCAGCAGAATACCCACTTCTAGAATAGAGAGGAAAAAACTCACTGGTGACAAATTATGTAATTCTTTTATTTTAAAAATTTGCCTAAGACACTACCTCCTATACTGTATAATGCCTAAGACACTACCTCCTATACTGTATAATGTCCTATACTGTATAATGTCACACAGCTTATAATAAAATGGCAGTTTTATTTTTGCATAGAGTATACAGTGATTTTTTTTTTTTTTTGGACAATGTATGGTTCCAGTCATAACCTCAGGTACACGTAAATGCTAAACTTAAAAACCTGAAGGTAAAAAGTGAAAGCAAACACTAGACATTGAGTTGGTTCACACAGCTCTCTCATCACTAATGAGAGCATTTTTAAACTATTAGGGAGATAATCTGTATATTAACCTAGTTCTATACTGTTCATATATCATGAAATCATCTCTGCCACAAATCATTAAACACAAGTCATTCACATTAAATGAAATCATCTCTGCCACAAATCATTAAATTTTAGGATTTTCTTTAAAAATCATTGAATAAACAGGAGCAGTAAAAAAAAAAAAGTACTGCTCTAATGTAATCAAATGAGGGCTTCTCACTAAGATATGAAATATATTGCTAGGATTTTCAAGGTATATAGGACATAAAGTACTTAGTGATCACTTGGTGATTGTTAGAGAACCACAGAATTTGAGAGCTACTGAAGACCTTACATATTACCTAATCTAATCACCTCACTTAAAGGTGAGAAAATTAAGGTCAATTGTCTTGTCCAAAGTCAAGTGGATTCCCGGGCGCACATCTCAACTACATTTCCCATCTTCACATGTGGCCGTGTATCCAAGCCTACCTTGTAAGTGATGGGCACTCCTAGGCTCAGTCCACTAAAAACCTCCTGTGAGCAAGCCCCCGTGCTTGGCCAGCTTCTGCCATAAAACAGGACTTGGGAACTTTGGAAATCTTGTGCTAAAGATGGTGGAGTCACAGCATGAAAACAGCTTAGGCCTTTGAATCATTGCTTGGAGGGGAGTTGCCTGTCAATCATGAACTCCCATGTAGACTTGATTTGGACTATGTTAAGCCAATGAGATCTGGGATTTTATGTGCTACGACAACTGGTGTTGCCTAATAAATCTATACATCAATAGTTGCTTTCCAAGAATGGATTTAAAGACAGGTATATAAATCTTCAAAATGAGGACAACTCTACTACTTACTAGCTGTGTGATCACTGGCAAGTTACTTAAACTCTTTGAGCCTTGGTTTACTCACCTATAAAATGGAGATGATTAGAATATCCATCTCAGAGTTCTGAACTTTAAATGAGATCACCTTCACAGATTAGCACAGAGCCTGGTGCACAGGAAATGCTCAATAAACTTTAGCTATTACCAAGGCCCTATTTGTGTAGATTGTAAACATAGTATTTGAAACTTAAAACAAGCACTTTCTCCCCATCTTTCATTCTCACACCTTTAACTGGGCTAAGGTGATGGCATGAGTCCTCCTTGATGATCTGTTCTTCTTCCATGATGTTTGACATTGGCACATTGAGGCTAACAGTGTCTTCATCAGAAGGCTAAAAAGAAACAGTGCACTGCTTCATTTGCGGGACAAGCATTATCAATGTAGATTAAGAGAAAGCTATATGATAAGAAAAAATACTGCTAATTCTCAAAAACATAATATTGAGTAAAAGAAACCAGATACAAAGAACAATTCCACTTACATAAGTTCAAAAACTAGCAAAACTAATTTGTGGTATTTGAAGTCAGGACAGTGACTACTCTTGGCTTGGAGGTTGGATGTGTGAGTGGGCTTTCTGGGGTGCTCGTAAAGCTCTGTTTCTTGTACTGGCAGTTGGCAATGTGGGTGCGTTCCACTTTGTCAAAATTCACTCAGCTAACACTCAAGTGTTTCTCTGTACATATGTTTTGAGCTGAAATTTTGTCAGGTACCTGATGGCATTTCCAACCTAAGAGCAATAGTCAAAACACTAAGAAGGACTATGTTATACCTGATGGAACAAAGGAGTAACTAAATATACTATCACACTAGCCCTAAGACTGACTAATCAATCCTTGTCACAGTAACGGTACTCTGAGACCTGACGACAACACCAGTTTCCCAAAACTACATTAAGGTTTCATGGGGCTAGTCACCAAATCGGGCAATATCTGTGACAATATCTCATTTATTCACAGTGCATCTTATGTGCAACATTAAGCTCCGGTTTATTTCCCTGTGTGAGACTGAGGAATATATAGGCATTTCGGCTGCATCAAATACATAAAAGTGCTGAATGACCGTAGTGCTTAAAAGGACATGTGTTCTGCGCAATTTTCAGAATAAGGCTTCGATTTGGTAATCAAAGTCAGTTGTCTCTGGGGGGCTTGTTTCCCACACTAGCTGATGAAGTTTATTCAGATAATCTACGATTCTGTCACGGATGAAATATGGAGCCTCAATTTCTTTCCTATGTCTCCATTTTCGCGTGGCTATTTAGTGAAGAGCTTTCCAAATCACAGGGATCATGAACCCTCACAGAACACATCTCAGGGACTCCTGGGTTGCTCCTAAATTCCTGAAGCTGTGACTTTCAGAGTTCAGTGTTCATTTACTTTTGGACGCGTGCACAAACTGTTTAGAAACTGACACAAAACAAGTGTGCATTTCATCCATTCAACAGATACTCATTCGGACTCAGCCAATTTTTTTTTGCATGTTTATCTTGACAAAAATATGTTTTAAACTTCTTAGAGACAAATGCTAAATCAATCAGACAAGGGCAACAGCCAAAGAAAGTGAATGAGATGTGCTTTCTGGATGCCACAATGAAACAGAAGCGGGAGCAAGAGAAACTGACCATAGATGGTAACGTATTTGCCAGACTAAGTGAAAATAGAAAGCTACAGTGGATAATTCAAGGCCCTTTTCCTTCTAAAAAACAAATTGCTTGGAGGGGTTCTCAGGTAACGAGGCTACAGTGTGAGCAAAAAAAGGCCAAAGGGAAGAAGCATGCACTGATTCTGTCCAATATAACCCTTTTTCTAGTCCTTCCTACCACCCTCCTCCCATCTTAAAAACTTAGCAAAATTCCAAAGATATGCATCTAGTTAAAAGGGAGGAAATAAACCCTTGGCCTCCTTTTGGAATGAAATTAGCATCCTACTTGTATTAAGTGAGAACAAAAGGATAATGAAGTTCTTTGTGTGATGTTTTATTAATGAACTTAATTATCCTTAAAAAACAGATAAAGGATAAAGCAGAGTCTGTTTTAATTTCATAGAAAATAAGCTTAGGGTGAGTAATTTCTGAAATAATGGGACATTTCAGGGGACTTAGGAGTTTTAATAAAGCTAAGGGGGCTGAATTAAATACAAAATATAAAGCAGTGTGTGGGGTATTTTCTCCCCCAGGGAGCTACAGTGAACTATTCATGTGGCTTCATGAGAGTAATTTTCTTTTATTGAAATTGGCCTTCTTTTTCTGCCTACAAACTCCTTTTGAAATGTTCTGTATTAGAAAGATTTTAAGGTATCCTAACTTTTTAATACATTGCTTTATAAAGCATTTTCTAGGAAATAAATGCAAATATCTTAGCTACATATTAACCCTTGAAGACCTGAAGAGAACAGGGAAAAGGCATCTTTCTTGGAGTCACACACAGTACAAATGTGAACTCCTTAAATGGGGTAATTGACTTAATAATTACATCTTCAAAGAGTAGAATGTTTCAAAACTCAATAACTACAAAAACTCAGTAAATTTCCTCAGAAGAGAAGACCTGATGATTCATCTACCCCCTACCCCAGCTATCCGTTCCAGCTCCCCTGCTCAAGAAACCCCATTTAATGGTATATTAGTGAAAGGTTTTGGGGACTCCAACTGTAAGTGACATAAATATGCTAAATGAGCTATTTATAACCACTTCAGGAAGCTCTAGTGTGGGAGGCCTCTTAGCTTACAAATAACCCAACTTTTATCCAGTTGTCTGAAAAGAACACAATCGAAGAGTTTTAGGAAAACAAATATTGCTATAAAAATTATGGCTACTCAAAATGGCATTTCCTGTGGGTAAACTGCTAAAATGCAATGCACATTTGACTCCGTAACATTTATGCATGCAAATAACTTTTTTTCCTAAATTATTCTGTCACTTAGAAACAAACACATTTAGAAATGCCTCACGGGTACGTGCACACCACTCTTCGCCGTTTCATATTTATGAAACGTTCAAGAATATTCTAGGTAATGTGAGGAGCGTGGTGGAAGGGGAAGCGGATAGGGACGTTTACAAAATATTAAATGTTCAGCAAAAGCTAAAAACTTGGAGGATTTCAAATTGCTTTCACGAACATAATCACACATTCTCACACAGATGCATTAATGCCCTTTACCACAGAGGAGTTCAAGAATGCAGGAAGATACATCTAGCACAGAAAGCAAAAGTAACTAATCACAAACTTTACCTCTGTGGCAGATAAACGCTTATCTCCATTATCACTTCCAACACCCGAATCAGAATCCTTCTTGCTGGGAGAGATGCCATCAGTACGGAATCCATGTAGAAAAAAGTGAAATCAAAAAGTTCACAACAAGATACATCAATTCATATTCGAATAATGACTTCCGCTATACAAATTTTATTATTACAATAAGGCAACAAATCAGCCCAAAATCAAAGGAGGTGGAGACAAGGGCCTAATAATCAGATATTCTTTCTAAGCAGAGGACAAGATAAATTCTTTGTGTTCAGGGTTACTCTAACCAAGTAGCCTGTTCTTTGAAACAGTTAACAATTTTCTTCTTATGGATTCTAGTGTCTAAAAAACCAAAAACTGCCTAATTGCTTTTACCTTTTCTAAGAGGCTTTTACTCTTATGTGGTTACTCTCAATAATTCTGTAAGCTTTTATCCAGTGACTAGACAAATTTGATGTTTATAAAAATAAAATAATGAATACATATTTTAAGTATTATATAAAAGGTACCATTAGAGTAGGCTGAGATTTTAAGTCACCATGTTTTTTAGTAAAAAGTTAAGCAAAGGTCTCTGCAGTGAAGACCTCTCAAAACAATCTGTGTTTTTATACACGTGTTCAGTGTGGGAATTTTGTTCTTTGAAAATTCAAGGCCCAATTTATGCCACAAAAAGGTCAAGGGCATGAGAAAGGATTCTAACACTTGGGTTCCAAAAAGGAAATGGCAAAAACTATGCACGCTGCATTTTTAAAAGACAATTACAAAACAAAACCTGCTGTTTTTCTTAACAATGTTCTGGAGGCAGATTAAAAATTAATAATTAAAAAGACACGCCTGAGTTTGATACGGTTGTTTTAATTTAATTTAATTAATTTTAATTTAATTGACTTATTTCTGATAAGTAAAAAATACCTACATTTATATTATAGATTGCATTTATAAGGCTATATATATATATGCACATAACATACATGTATGTAGGTATACATATGCACATGCACACAGCACACACAGTACCCAGGAAAGACTGATCATTGACTAGAATAGGGAAGGTAAGATTTGCAAGATGCCAAAAGGTTGTCAACAGCACCTATTTTCTCTCTCTTATTCCAAATTGCTGAAAACACCTGAGGTATAAACCTGCATCGGTTAAGTGAGGCAAAGGGATTTTTGGAGTTACCTACCTGGAGGCCCCAGCCTCAGCAAAGTCTAAACGGGGGCTTTGAGTGACTTCAGTCACACTCACCTATCCTCCACGGGCTGGTGGAAATGTGGCCTCTCCATCGTGTGGAGATCAAGGGAGTCAGCTGTCTTAATCTGACATGCTTGTATGCTCAGATACTTGAATATGTGCACTTTGCCCTTTGTGCAAATCTATGGAGAAATTAATAATACATATTTGGTTTTCAATGGCAAAACAAAATGGAAACACTCGACACGGAGGCTCTGTGTATTTTAATTTTTGCATTTTCATTTTAAGTAACACTTCAAAAATACACGCCAAATTTGACCTCTCCAAAACATATGAGAATTTAGGCAATCATTTCTTCCAAATTCTACTTTGAATAGAAAACCATCCTAACAGAAATGTGTCTAAGTCTAAATAGTGTAAAAAAGTAGAGAAGTCAGATACCTGACACGGTAACATTCCAATTCTGGAAGCATTCATTTTGTTCCCACACAGTTTAACAGCTGAACTTGGAACTTATCTCTAAATAACCAACAATCATATGTGAAAATGTTTAAACCCCATTTCTCAGCTCACATGAAAGTAAGGAATATATTACTCCTTTGATAAGCCATACACTCCATGAAGGAGTTTCCAATGTGTGTACAAATGCTAACCTAATCAAACATATAATCCTAGGATTAGAGTGATCAGGACAGTGGGTCGAACACTGGTGAACGGACTTGATGTAGCAGAAGACAACTGATGGTAGTCGAATTCACCCAAGGTTTCAGCTTTCAGAGACTGTGATCATGTCTAAAACAATATTAATTCAGCAGAATATCAAAGGCCCAGCTCTGCTGCGAGTTTCCCATGCAGTATTGATAGCATATCCCGTGGTGAAAGAGCTTCACTGCTATCCCTCACCTGTGCTGGAGGAGACTGCAAAGGGTTGTTCTCAAGTAGTAATACTTGCAGCTGTTTCATCTGTCTAAAACAAATGGGAATCACGAGCACTTTATTGCAGGAAAAGTCAAACTTTACCAAGGGAAGATCTACTAGTTCTAAAGAACAGGGGGGAAAAAAGAAAAAAAAAGAAAAAAAGAACAAATTCAGAAAGTAATAAGATTAAATGGCTAAACATTCAAAAACTAATTCTCTGCTTACCAGGAAAAATATCAGTTAGCATAATCAAAGCAAGTTATGCATCAGGAATATGTGGTATGCATATAAAATATTTTACTAAAGGGGAGGGGGAAATCTTTCATGGAGAGCACAATAATTTTAAATTGTTAGTTCTGGTAAGAGCTAGAAACACACTTGACATTTACACTATCTATTGTTTAGAAAAACCTTTTTTCCAGCAAAACAATCACATAAGCCATACCACGTTGGCTTAGGTTTCACAGGACATGTTTAACTTCAATTGTGAGCTTATGAACAATGTGCTAATGATAAAATATTCTTATCTAGTCAACGTATCTGGGCTGGCATAATCTCAGAACTAGTTACAAGAAATATGTTCATGGTTTTTTAATTCCACTTTTTAAAAACTAAATGCTATCTAATTCAGAATTTTGCAGTGGACCCTGTAATCCTGATTTGATGAGGCTCAATTCTACTGCTTTTAAAAAGTCTTCTGTAGCTCCACAAACAAGACAGAACATTATATTTAGCTTAAAATCCCCACCCAGTGGCATAGTAAACACTCAGTAATTTCAAGCATTCCAACCGACACTGGCAGCTACAAGGAACGAAGTCAAATATATTCCATAGAGCAAAGAGGCTGAGCGACACCAGACATGTAGAGTGACACGGGGCAAACCGGCAAACCGCTAAGATCTCTGCGTGAGACACTCTGGCAGGTTCATGTCAAAAGGGGCCTCATCATGTTTATTACAGGACTTGGTAAGGGATGAAATACAGTGCTTTCAAAGACGCAAGAAGTTCCAAAGTGGAGGATAGGCAGGCACTATATAAAGTGACCTGCAGTGAGAATTAACCCAATTCCTTCTCTCCCCCAGCATGCCTTAGGGTTTTCACTTGACTCAGCTATGCTACTTCAAGTTCCACAAACAAAGATGCTCTTAGAAACCAGTATCTCTTCTCCTATTCACCTGGTTCTGGGCCTCTGGGTGTGTAAGGGACTTTCCTTGTTTCATGCCTTAGTGAGTTCCATTGTATTTAAAAAACAGAGTCAAGCGGACTCAAGTGCTAGAAGAGAGGCAGAAGAGCATCCAACTCAGCAGGTCCCAAGCTCCGCTCTGTGTCAACTGCCCTGAGTAATTCACTGCCCAAACCCAGTCCCCACCCCCTACCCCCAACAGCCGGGTGGATGATTTGCCTCACACCCTACTCATCCTGGAGGTTGCCTTGATGGAGGTGAGCAGCAGAAGGTAAAGGAGAGAGGGAGGGAGAGAACCTGGAGGGCAGCAAATCAAAAAAATCAAAGGAAAAGGGAAAGTAAGATCCCTTTCACTTCATAGTTTATTTCTAAAACAGGGCTAAGGCTTAGAGGGATTTACATACAAGAGGAATATCTCCTCGCCATAACCCTTGGTGATATTAATCCGTCTCTGGGGCTGTTAATTTTACTCACTAAACTTAGGTTGGCAAATTAGTGGCAAAATCTAACTGGAGTCTGTATCTTCAGCAAGTCTTTGCCGCTGAAAATGAAGACTTTTAAGCAAGACTGAGGGCTAAGTTCCTGGCAGCCATAGCAGGAAGGGGAGGAGAGGCAACTTAAATAAATAAGGTAAATAAAATAAGAATGGTTTTTATAATGAGTGTTCCTGCTAATTGCAGTTTGGAACACAACTACCATCTTAGTTTAGGAAAACGAGAGCCTGGCAGTTTCATAACAAGAAAATGGGGGTGGGGGTAAGGGGTGATGATAACTCCAGCCCAGAAATGGTCAAAAGAAACCGGGCAGGAAAAGGGAGGAAGAAAAAAAAAAAATCCCAAGGAATCTTCTGTTGCAAAGAAGGTCAATGACTGGCTCCTTTAATCTTAACTCTGTCCATTCTGGTCCTCGAAAAGACAAAATATGGTCTCCTCATTGCAGTATTTGTAGTAAAAGCACCACAAAATTGATATGGGTAATTAGACCACAGACTTGTTTTCCCTCCTCAGACTGAAAGCATACGGGGAGGGGTACTCACAGAGGAAAAACAAGTCAATATGGAAAATCTTTAAATTCACTGCCTGAAAGCACTATCAATGCTCTTTTGTTAATAGAGTTCTCCAGAGTGAAGCAAAAAAGAAACTTAATATTCAGGAAGTTATTAAAAAAAAAAAAGATTTTTCCAGTAAACTGAAGTTTTAGCTTTGAATATATTTTAAAATATTAAACCTGAGAAAACACAATTATGAAAAGGATAGAAATGTGTAACTGATCTTTTCAAGGGAAAGGAATGCTCTTAAGGTAAGAGCGTAGGGAGCGCTGAGAGAAAGAAGAACCTTGGTTTGCAGACACACCGTTTACACGTTTCTAAACTATTATAGGCAACCGTGAAATGACTCTCTTAGATCTTTCTTTTGAAAATGAGAGTCTGATGTTCTGTAATGATTTTTCAATGATTAGCATGAGAGCTACATTTAGAGGCCAGTTTTCTTTAATGCCACAAAAGGTTAAATGCTTAGAAATGTGCTGTTGGTAAGAGTGTTTCCCCTTTGCACTTGCTCAAACCAAGAAAAACAATTTCATCCATTCAAAATGGATTAGACAATGACAGAATGAAAAAAATCAATGTTTTCATACCAAGCTATCTCAAGCAATAAAGTAATACATCCTTGTGCTGAGATAGTTTCTAATTCTACTTCTTTAAAATGCTGGTCAGTGCAAGAAAGGTGACGGATGGCAGGTAAAGCACATTGCATTTTATGAAGTTCTTTCCCTTCCATGAGCTTCATCCGCCTGCCTTCAAGCCAAAGATCAAGATGCAGGAACAGGATAACAAAAATCAGGCAGTTCTCAACCAGCTGCAATTGTGTCAGATTAACCAAATGCTTTCTTTTTTGTTTCCAAATATATGCTTTTGCTTTGAGGTATATTTTTAATTATATATTTGAAACCCGGTATGCCTAGTGGCCTTGAATGAATCCGAGGGAAATCAATGCGATCTTTGAAAACCAGAGTACATTTTGGCGGAAGCATTCAGTATTCTGCTCATCAACTCATTCTGATTCAAGTCCAAATAAGAATCCCAAAATAGGAAATTCAGATCCACCATTATCTACAAAGCTGCTTGTCAAAGTTCTTAATGGTGCACATTTCCTGAAGAAATGTATCTTTTTATTTGAACTCAAGAGTCTATGTCTCAGAGGGACAGACTGTAGAAGCCCACAGGTGCAGGGAAGGGTCTGCCTGAGTCTGGCTCCTGAGCAGGGATGTCTGAGAGGGCAACCAGTCTCAGCGCTGAGGTTCTGGAGGATCCTTGCTTCTGGCCTTTGGGAGACTCCCCAAAACTACCAGTGACATTAGTCCAAGTACCACCTCGGCAGGGGTAGTACCCTCACCTGAAGCATATATTATAGACATGGCAGGTGGTTCCCAACTAGGGTGACCAGATGCTCAAAGCCAGAAATCCTAACAGCTGGGTCTATAACACCAGGCACATCGCCTAAAGTGTTGGCTCGACATTCCAAAACATCACACATCCGTACCAAAAACAACTCATGTTGCCTCCTGTTATGAGCTGAATCGTGTGTCCCCAAATTTCCTATGTTGGGAGTCCTAACTCCCAGTACCTCAGAATGTGACTGTATCTAGAGATAAGGCCTTTAAAGGGGTCATTAAGTTAAAATGAGGTCATTTGAGTGGGCCCTAGCCCAATATGACTGGTGTCCTTATAAGAAGAGATTAGGACAGAGACACAGAAGGAGGAGAAGGTGAGGACACAGGGAGAAGAGAGCCGTCTGTAAGCCGGGGACCGAAGACACCTTGATCTTAGACTTCCTGCCTCCAGAATTGTGAGAAAATAAATTTCTGTGGTTTAAGTCACTCAATCTGTAATACTTTGCTACGTGAGCCTGAGCAAACTAACACACACACAGCCTTATACGGGGGAATGGCTGCATTGCTGTACTCCTCGACACAAATTAAAAGCTGAATATTCACTTTTCTGGTATCTGCATGTGAAATTCATATAATTCATATTCACATAATTAATTAATAATTAATATCATTAGGCATACCCAAACATGACTAGACAAACTACCTTCTTCACATAAGTAAACAAAAAGAATAAACGTCTCCTGCTTTATTCTTTTTTACCTTGTGGTAAAACTTTAAGGTAATTTCTTCTGACATTCAGTTCCCGTAGAGATTTCAACTGACCTATCTGCTGGGGCAAGGCCGTGATCTCGTTGCAGCTGACATCCTGCATCAAAGGCAAAGGCAGAAATGATAAACACCCTTTTCCAGGAAATCAAGCATTTCATGTGAAAGCTTCTTAAGGAATTTAAATATGAGGACAACTACTCAAGTACATTTTTATCTTGGTCTGTACATCCCTGGCCAAGGAAGGCTTAGCACAGAGAAGAAAAAGAAAGCGCACCATTTTTGAACATCCTCTGAGGAGAAAAAAAAAGAGAGGAAGGATGTTTGGAGCATTCGGGGGCTACTTTGAGGACCTCACGCCTACTGCGTTCATGTGCTTCAATCTCATAATTCTCATGACAAACCCATGAGACAGTATTCACAGCTTAATATTTACAGTCAGAAAAACGAGGCTCAGGGAGGTTACGTCAGGCGTCCAAGGCAGTTAACATTTGGAACGAATGCCCACCCACTGTCAGGCCACTATCGCACAGTGCCTTGAAATAGAAGATGACATATCCTACTTACCAAACACATTTTACAGTGAGAACCTATGACTATTAATGCATCTTTTGGATGCACTATTTATGTAAGATGGAGCTCTTACTGGAAGGCTGGGAATTTTGTGGGCCTAAACACCTTTAAGTACATTTTATAAGCAAGACTCTGGGGCATGTGGATGATGTCTTTTTTTGCACTGAAACACTGATATCCCGTTAACCGTTGATTGGAACCACCTCTTGACACATGCAAAGTGAAAGCTATGACATTTACAATGTTACTATACTGTCCCCCATCCCATTCTTCCTCCTTCTCTGGAAGCTCTGCTCTGCTCTCACCCCCCACCCCAGCTACTCTCTAGTCCAGAGCAGCATTCTCTCTCATGGGGACATTATAATGGTCTCCTCGATTGGTTCCTTGCATCGGTCTGCTCCCCAGATCCATCATTCACAGAGCTTCCAGAGTGTGCATTTCACCATGTCATTTACCAGCTTAGACATTTGCAACAGCTCCCGGGAAACCCATGGGGTAAAGTCTCCAACTCCAGGGCAGGGCCCAGAAGCCACGGTTCAGGTCTGCTTCTCTAGCACCACCTCTCTGAAAGCCCTCCCTTGCGTCCTCGAGCCATGTCATCACCGACTGCTGTCACGGCCGTGTGCCAAGGTGCTTCATGGCTCCACACGTGTCCAGGCCCCCCGTCCGGCATGCCATTCCCCAGTACTGTCCTCTTGTCCCACCTACATCTTTCCAGATTTAATTCAGGGCTTGCCCCTCTCTGAAACCTTTGTGGAGGTTTCTCCCATTATCCCCCTCTGAACTAACCCAGGGGAAATGACTGCTCTTCCCTCTGTGGCCCTGTGCATAAACTACTACTGTATTCATATGCTCACACATTTGCCTTCTCTCATGAGCCTGTGAGCTCCCAGATGGAAGATACTGGGTCTTAATCCACTCCATCTTCCTGGGGCCAAGCAGAATGCCAGGTATGAAGAGATCAATAAATATTGGATGAAATTTCTGAAGTCCATTTATGTTGACGCTCTCATTCTGCCTCACGGCTGGAACCCCAGGATGCTCCAACATACACACCAATCCCTGGCAGGTCTTGCTTGAAATGGCAGAATCACAGATATACTTGGGCTAGGTTTGAGCCCAAGGAGACGGAGTCTTTAAATTCCCCACATCACTTGTGAACCTGCAAAAACGCCCCCTTTCACAAGGCAGCAAAGCAGTTTCACATTCACTCGATGAGAACTCACCATTGACCCATCCCCAGCAACCCCAGGGCTCCGTGTAAGAGCAGGACTATGCAGAACGCAGGGGATCACTGCCCTCTATTCTCTTCTCACCTAAAAATCCTCAGGTGACCCATCAATCTGGCAAGGTTGCAAGGCTGCTAAATGAGTATCACTTGCCGAAGAGGAATAAAACCACTCCTGCTAAAGGGAATGAAACAGCCCTCTGGAGAGGCTGTAGATTGCACACAGTGTAATCAGCCGTGGTACTGCTCGGTGCTCTGCATCGGACTGAGGTGAGGTGGCGTGTGACAGGCTCACAACACTAGGTGTTCAAGGGCATCACCCCCAGGCTGGCTGTTGATGCATCACTCCTGGCCCAGAAAAGCCACATAAAATTCCATGAAAAACATCCCTAGTGTTTAAAAACAAAAACAAAAACCCACAAGTACATCTTCAGAGAAATAAAAGTCAGAGGAAGTAAGTACAGAATTAAAAGGTCCAGAGATTTGTTCAGTCACTTTGAGCCCCTCACTGAGTCAGTAAATAATTCTGCCTCTCAGCATATACTTCCATATACGAGAAATAAAAAGGGAAATGCTACCTTTTCCCAATTACTCTGGCATCTGATCAGTCACAGATATCAACAACCAAATCCTTTCAATGAAATCTTTGTCTTTCTTTGCCTCAACCAAGTCACAAATAAGCAAGAGGTACCATTCCATTCTCTTTTAGAAGAGCCCTCACAATAAAGTGTATACAGGCAAGCCCCAGAAATATATGAGATTAAATCATTCTATTGGACTCACAGACAGGCACAGTCACGCTGGTGATGGTTGGTGGGAGAGAAGGAGGCGTGGGGGAAGAAATAGTGGGTATTTTCCGTCTCTAGAGAGAAGTTATGTTACTGACATCTATAGTAAGTTTTTGTAAGTCAGTGAGCGACAGCACGAGAAAAGACCCTTTTTGCAGTTTATGGGAATCAAATTTTTGATATGAAACTGGCAATTTTCAGAAGTTTCGAGGACAGAATTCTTTTAAAAATCATTCTTTTCTTTTATTATTTATTTTGAGAGAGGGCAGGGGCAGAGGGAAAGAGAATCCCAAGCAGACCCCTGTTGGGCACAGAGACTGATACGGGGCTCGATCCCAAGACCCAGAGACCACGACCTGAGCCTAAACCAAGAGTCGGACCCTCAACCAACTGAGCCATGCAGGTGCCCTCCAAAAATCACTCTTTAAAAAAAAAAAAAAAAAAGGAGGGGAGAGAGGGAAACAGATATTTAGGCAGCTTATTCACAGCATAAAGTCTCATTCAGCCTTATCCTATTTCTTTGAGGGTGCTATATTCACCTTGCATTCTGTTGATTACCCTCTGGTTAGCCGGAAAGGGTATGCCCGGTTCCCTAAATATAAGGGAATTTTTTTTTTTCCTAACATATATGTCTAACATAATGGCTTTATCAAGGAAAATCAACTCCCTTCAGCTATATTTAAATGCTTATTTACCAGTAAGGAAAGCGGTTACCCAATTAACACTTAAAAAAAAACCAAAACGTAACGATAAAGAGTTTTTCCTTCTGACCTACATGGTAGGACATCTGTAGACAATTAGAAACACAAAGTCCAATTGTCCATTCACGTTTTGAAGGGCGTATAGTGAAGGCCAAATTATTTTAATGGTACGCTGTTGTCCGTTACTTCCTGTCCTGCCAAAATAACGAGGGGAAAATGCCCAGGCAGATTTAGCATGAAATCGACGTGAAGACTTTTTTCACTATTGTATAATCAATATTGTAGGAACTATGCAAAACTCGATTGTCTCCCGGTTACTGAACCTTGCTAAATTTTAAAGAGCCATAATTTCATCACAAAAATAAACCGCCCCCCCCCCATGTCTTAATTAGCTGGGGAATGAGGAGGAGGAAACAGAGGATAATAGTCTAAATGCTTTGGGTAAGATGTTTCAGTTTAGAACATGAAAAAGCAATATTCCTAGAATGGTCTGACTCTCTAGAACATGCCCGTCCACGTTTAGCCTAAGGTATGTTTTTTTCTTTAATTGTGAATTCATTTTAAAAAGATAATGTTTAGGAAAATAAATTTAATAAATAAATAACACCAATGCCTCATACTTCTGCATTTAGTGAGAACTTCCCAAGCTATGAATTCCAGATTCAGTGGCTTCTTTGAATAGTCAAATGAATCCCTTCTGAATTGTCTATTAGCCCCTAAGCTATATCTTAGAAAATAATGATTGCAAGCTTCAGTGAATCAATTACCATATATTTACTGTTATAATATTGCAAATGTACAGGCAGGCCAAAAAGAAATCATCACAAACATGTCATAAATATTTACTAATTCTATTTTTTATACAGAAATGAACCTAATTATTAAATATTAACATAAACACTCAAACTTAAGTTTTTATGGACCAGCCAGTCTAATTTAGTTAGTGAGATAAAAAACAAAACAGAAAATTTTAACTATGACTTAAAATATACTTTTTTCTCACTGGTTTAATCAACATGTTTTTAAGTAACCAAAGGAGAAACTTTAGAGTCATTTCATGCCAGTCCTTCCAGGCAATAAAGGAAGTCTTTAGAAGTGTTTAATGCACATTGGAGACTAATAGATTTTTGTTATTAAATGCTAGTTGTTAATTTACCTTCAGGATGCAGAAATGACAAGGATTTAAAACATCAGATTAATTCAGGAATTATTAAGCTAGATAATGTTCACTTTCAGAAAACAGTATTTAAAAAAACAAAAACAAAGTGTTTTTTAAGGAGTAACCTCTAATGAAAACCAACATGTCTACTGCGTATTGGGTCAAGATGATCTTGGTTAGGGAAGATGTCCAGTGAGACCAGGCCACCCTGTGAAAATGCACATGGTATTCTCATGAGCTACCTTGCTCTGACTCTCAGGTTTTCAAAAACCTAATGTGGTTATACAATTGCTGAAGTCGTATTTTTGTAATAAACGTAGCTCTTTATTTACTGGAGGAGATGCGAACATTCTGACAGGAAATTCAAGATATTAACTCCCATCATGGGATCACACTCTTTTTTTGGGAAATGTCTGTTGTATGATTCACTGTGTAACTTTAAGTAAATGTCCTAACCTCTCTGTTCCTATGAAAAAAGAAGTGGCAGGATTAAAAAATTCAAATTTCCTTGCGATATTGGGAAAATCCATTTATTACAACAGAAATAATGAAGAGATTTTGAAAGACAGATACTTAACTCACTTAGGAATAATGTCAATTTTGTTTTCTTAGCAATCAGAAACCTCAATGCCTGTAGTCAGAACTTTTCTA